GGATAGACAGACATGGAGAGCATTTGGCTCAGTGAAATAAATCAATTAGAGAAGGACAAATACCATATGAATCTAGTAAACAAACAGACTCATAGAAAAAAAAATAGGCTGATAGCTATTGGGGAAAGTGGGCTGAGGGGAGGTACATAGAGGGATTGAGCAAAAGAGAATAAAAGAACCATGGACATAGACAACAGTGATGATTGTAGGGGAAGGTTCCCCCACGGAGGGGAGGACAGTATAGAGGAAAATGGATGCCTTTTATTTCGTCTTCTTGTCTAATTGCAATGGCTAATACTTCCAGTAGTACATCAAACAGGAGTGGTGAGAGTGGGATTCCCTGTCTTGTTCCTGTTCTTAGAGGAAATGGTTTTAGTTTTTGCCCATTGAGTATACTGGCGGTGGTGAACACACGGTATACACATGATGTGCTGTGGAACTGTGCACCTGATACCTGTACAATTTTGTTAACAGTGCCACCCCAATAAATTTAATAAAAAGGGGGGGGAAAATCTAGAATACCGGTATAAAAAAAGTCAGTCTTAAAGATCTTGTTTTCCAGGTTGCTAATGCTTAAAATGATGTTGATAAACCTGCATTAGTAAATACTTAGCCCTGTAGTGACAGTAAGGTTTGAAAATGAACCTGCAAATAAAGATTTTGCACCATTTTGTATCCCCACTGAGAAGATGATGCCCGACTCCATTACATACACCAGGTATTTAACAGCCAGAACCATAATAAGTCAGCAGAAGATGACAGGGAAGAAATGCTGGACATGGATTGCAATGCTTGTTACGCATTCTTGGCCGGTGGGAAACTCCAGAAAAACGGTTAAACAAAGCATGAAGATAGTCCTGACTGTGAGGACGGCTACATGTGAATACAAATGGAAAAGTTGCTGAAGGCATATGATGGCAAGTAAACAGCATTGGTGGGGCAGAAACATGAAATCTCCAAGAGGCCATCTTGAGTAGTGTTGCTTTATCACTCGAGATTCCTTATCCTGGCCCGTCATCAATGTCTAATTCCAACCATGGGCCTTCTCTACAAGATCCTCCAACTACCAGATTTAATGAAAATGTATTACATACACACACACATATATGTAGCTATTTAACTTTGTTTTAAATAAACAAAAATATTTTTGTTTACTGGTAGGAAGATATTTTTACCTTGGAAAAAAATCTAGAAATTTTGAATTGCAAAATACATCTGAAACCAAATGTTTTATGAAGAAGAAAAAAATAAAAATAGTAGCCTTGTGCTACAAAAAAGGAGATGGCGACTTCCAGAATAGCAGAGTAAGTCCTTCCTCTGAAAGTCTGCTTTTTTATAAAAGCAACAAAATACTGAAAAAAGTTGCCAAGATCCATTTTTGTAGAACTCTGGGAATTAAAGATTTACAATAATCCTAGGAAGGTTTGTAGATCCTAGAACACATGTGTCAAACACAAGGCCCGCGGGCCAAATCCGTCCCGCCAGGCCTTGCAATGTGGCCCGCACCGCGCTGTCATCACTGCACTCCGCTGCGTTTCCATCACAATGACAGTTTATGACTGTTCAGTAAACCATTCGGCCCGCGATTTAGGCTGGATTTTAGATTTTGGCCCCTTCTCTGATTGAGTTCGACACCCCTATTCTAGAAAAATGACTGAGACACAGAAAGAACAGGAAGCTTTGTGGCATTTTAGCTTTCCTTATTTCTGGCCTCTTCCCCAGCTCTGTGGGAGCCTGGAAAGTGAGCCTTGATGCTGTAGGAATCATGAAGCACTGCCACCAAGTAGCCCTGGAGGGGACAGGACAGGTTTGCAGTTCCCCTAAAGCCCCAACCCAGAGAATTTCACTCTGTGGCCTCTGGCCGCTCTCTGAAAAATTGTCCTCACGGTTTTTGTCAAGCGGTGATCGCTTCACCTCGTAGTTTTGTGAGACAGTTTTGACAGTTGGCACTAACAAGAGCCAGAACAAAACACTTATAAGGAAGCCCTGAGGGATGTCCTTAGGAGTCTGCAAAGCTCTGACATGGTGTTGGATCTAGAGCGATTTCCACTGAAGGCTGTGTATCCAAGAAAGGGGGGCAAAGGCCCTGATCTCTCACTGCTGGCTGACCTCGCAGGCCTGTGCAAGCAGAAGTGAAGCCTACGTCGGAGATTAACTGCCTACGGGAACATTGAAAGCATGTCCCCACACACAGCACCTCACAAAGGCTGGTGGCTTACAGCGTTTATTATAAGAAAGTCTGCCCACTCATTAGTAATAAAGACTTGAGTAGCTGCACACAACAAAGCATGCAGGCGTGCTGCAGGCGGCCTGGAGAAGTCCCTAACAGCAGCAGCATAGAACTGTGAGGAAGGCCTGTGGGAATCTGGCTTCCAGAGCTGCCACTTTATTGATTTAACATGTTCCTTAGGAGACACACAAAGGAACAGGTAAGTATGGCCTGTATGTGCACAAAAAGCAGTCAATTGAAACAATCTCTAAGAAAGCCCAGATTTCCTGGGGAAAGACTTTAAAATTGACTACTATAGCCGAAACCGGTTTGGCTCAGTGGATAGAATCTCGGTCTGTGGTCTGACAGGTCCCAGGTTCGATTCCGGTCAAGGGCATGTACATTGGTTGTGGGCACATCCCTGTAGGGGGTGTGCAAGAGCCAGCAGGTCAATGTTTCTCTTTCATCGATGTTTCTAGCTTTCTATCCCTCTCCCTTCCTCTCTGTAAAAAATCAATAAAACATATTTTTTTAAATAAATAAATAAAATAAAATTGGCTGCTACAGATATGTTTAAAGAACACCATCTAAATAATAAAGTCTGAGAACAATATCCCAGCAAATAGAGACTATCAATAAAGTGATAGAATTTATTTTTTTAAAGAAAAGAACCAGCCAAAACTGGTTTGGCTCAGTGGATAGAGCGTTGGCCTGCGGACTAAAAGGTCCCAGGTTCGATTCTGGGCAAGGGCATGTACGTTGGTTGCAGGCACATCCCCGGTAGCGGGTGTGCAGGAGGCAGCTGATCGATGTTTCTAACTCTCTTTTCATCTCTCTTCCTCTCTGTAAAAAAATCAATAAAATATATATATTTTTAAAAAGAGCCAAATAAAAATTCAAGAGTTGAAAATATAACTTGAGTTTCAAATGAACCATCAGACTTAACATCATATTTGAGCAAAGAGAACAAAGAAAGAATTTTAAAATAGGGTGATTGAGATTTATCCAGTCTGAGGAACAGAAAGTAAGAATGAAGAAAAATTAACAGTCTCGAGACTTGGAGGATGCCATCAAGGGTACCACCATACACGTAACAGGAGTCCCAAAAGAGAAGAGAGAAAACTAGTAAAATGGTTGTTTGAAGAAGTTATGGCCCAAAACTCCTTAAATTGGATGGCAAACAATGTAACACATCTATGATGCTCAACAGCATGGAGAATGCGGTTTCTTGTGGAGGTGATGGAAGGGTTCTGAAATTGGATAGTGATGGTTACACCACTGTAAGAATATGCTAAACACTTTTGAATCATTCCCTATAAATTGTATCTTAATAAAACTACTTCATTAAAAACAAGAAGGAAGATATTCTTTTTTTAAAATATATTTTATTGATTTTTTACAGAGAGGAGGAGAGAGGGATAGAGAGTTAGAAACATTGATGAGAGAGAATCATCGATCAGCTGCCTCTTGTACACCCCCTACTGGGGATGTGCCCGCAACCCAGGTACATGCCCTTGACCGGAATCGAACCTGGGACTTTTCAGTCCATAGGCCAACGCTCTATCCACTGAGCCAAACCAGTTTTGGCAGGAGGATAGTCTTTATATTATGATGAGAAGATCTCCAAAAAAATACCTTGTATGAGAAAAGAATGTGTCAGTGTATCTAATATGTCACTTTTTATAAAGAAAGGAAATAAAAATTTGTAGTTGGATCTTACATTTAAAAATATTGTAAGGATTTATAGGAACTAGTAAAGATGCTTACCCACAGGGCTGGAAGTGAGGTGATGATCGTGCTGTACAGAGATGTGTATGGAAGCGAAACTTCTCTCTGTATCTCGCTTTATAGTGATTATTTTAAACTACATGCATGCATGATTTTTTAAAAGTCTACATTCTTGTGTGGAATCCATGGGGAATCTAGTAGGGGAAATGGGCTGTAAATAAGTAGTTTTATGAATGTTGTGAAGGGTTTTAACTTTTTTCATAAATTGGTACTATTTATATGGTCCAATAGTAGCAGATAAGGACCATTTGGTGGACACGGGCAGCGGTGTGCTGGAGGCCTGGGATGTGGTGGCTGCTGCTTGTTGTTCACAGGCGCAGCTCTGGGTTTGCCTCGGGGCCCAGTGTCCTAGCCCGTAACCCAGAGCGTTGCTCAGTGGTGGGAGGAATGAGTGTGCTCTCATTCTTCACGTGAAGAATGTGTCTGCCTTTGTCAGTGAGAGCGGCCTTTTCTGTCTCATAAGAACAGGTAGTGCCTGACTTCTATGCTTGTGGTAGCAACATAGATACCCTTTAGGTAACTAAGTTTCAGCGCTGGAGCAAAAATCTCTGGAAATGGGAGGGTTTTGTTTGTTTGTTTTGTTGGCTGGTTTTTTTTTTTAGGAGAGAGCGGCTGCTAAAACTTGTAGCTTAAAGAGGAAACCATTTGTCTGGGTACCTAGTTCCTGACGTTCCAATCCACATCTTTACTACTTGCCTTGCTGCCCTTGGCATAGTAGGAAAGAACACTAAAAAGGAATTGGATCGACATTTACCCCTGGACATGCTAACCCTTAGAGAAAACTCACTGGTCTTGGCTCTCCAACGGCCTTGGTGCCCCCTCACAGTGTGAAGAGGTTGGTCTAGAGATGGGACTTCAGGTCGCTCTGGCTCTAAGAGGCCATTCCCGGGGCTCCGCTAGGCACAGACCTCCCCTGCTCGGTAGTCAGGGCCTCGGGCACTCTTCTGAAGATGCCGCTTTTAGGAGCGTCAGCGTGTAACTGCTGCGCGTGTTTCTCCTGCAGGTGCCGCCATGGATCTCGTCCTCGGAGCTGCAGACCGCTATGTCTTCACGCCCTACGTCTATCCTGCCACGTGGCCGGAGGACAGCTTCTTTCGACAGACTCTCAGTCTCCTCATTGTAACGAATCTTGGGGCTTATATCCTTTATTTTCTCTTTGCAACACTCAGCTATTACTTTATCTTTGATCACTCTTTAATGAAACATCCACAATTTTTAAAGGTAAGTGATTTTCTTTCCTAGTTTTGCTACTATTACAGTAAAAAGAAAACCCTATATGATGAACTTGTAGGCTGTTCAGATTAAATTGGTTATAAGCATTAAGGAAAGTTTTTGAAACCAGCCCCAGATGGGTTATATGTTTTTGGTAGGGCTGATCCCACCTCTCCTTCCTTAATTTAAACAAATAATGAGTCCAATTTTTTTTTTTTAAACTAAAAGCCTTCTACTTTGTACCTTCAGTTACAAAGAGTTTCTTTAGAGCTGGTTTGGCTCACTGGACAGCACGTCGGCTTGTGGACTGAGGGTCTGGGTTCAGTTCTAGTCAAGGGTACATGCAGGGGTTGCAGGATTCTTCCCCAGAAGGGAGTGTGCAGGAGGCAGCCTGTCAGTGATGTCTCTCATTATTGATGTTTCTCTCGCTCTCCTTCTAATTTTTTTAAAGAATTTTTCTGCTAATAGTGATAATAAATGCACACATTTGTGTAGTTATTTTTATATTTGACTCACAACTGAAATAAAATTTGCTATGTATATTTGTCTTTAGAGGATCTGAACATAGTAATTTTAGATTAATTTATAATCACTTTTGTTTCAGTTACTTGTATTTGTCAAATACAAATCTCAAATACAAGTCTCCAAAAATTGAGGAAAAAGAGGATTATGGATGGAAGTTAATTATGAAAGAAATAAAATTTCGAGTACAGATTTCGTTGCAAGGAAAATAAGCTCGAGAATTTAAAATATTTATTGTTTTTGCTCAGTACAAAAGGAATTTCTTACATACCCATCCCCACATATTAACATTTTAATAGAAACATTTTGGGAATTAGCTTCTAGGCCGGCGGGTGTTGCTCAGTAGTTGAGTGTCTACCTAGGAACCAATAGGTCTTGGTTCGATTCCCCATCAGGGAACATGCCCCAGCTAGGCTCAATCCCCAGTGGGGAGCATACAGGATGTTTCTCTCATCGATGTTTCTATTTATCCCTCTCCCTTTCTCTCTCAAAAAATCAGTAAAAATATATTAAAATGTATATATATAAGCAATTCTAAAAATCCAACCCCACACAGCCCTGTGTTAGTGTTGCCCAATGAGCAGTGGTTTTTAAGCATCGGAATTGTCATTTTCAGAACCAGGTCTATCGAGAGATCATGTTCACGGTCCGGGCATTGCCGTGGATGAGCATTCCCACGGTCATGCTGTTCCTGCTGGAGCTGCGAGGTTACAGCAAGCTGTACGATGACATAGGAGGCTTTCCGAGTGGTAAGTGAAGAACCGGTCAGCCCACGCTGGTGCTTCTAAAGAACCTAATCTGCCTCTGCCTTCTTTAGAATAATTAGGAAGCCCTGGCCAGTTTGGTTCAGTGGGTAGAGTGTCAGCCTGTGGACTGAAGTGTCCAGGCTCAGTTCTGGTTAAGGGCACAAGCCCGGATTGTGGGCTTGATTCCAGCAGGGGATGTGCAGGAGCCAGCCGATCAATGATTCTCTCTCATCATTGATATTTCTATCTCTCCCTCTCCCTTCCTCTCTGAAATCAATAAAAATATAAAATAATTAGAAATTTCTCAGTTGTTCTTAATATTTGTTAATATTTTATGCATTTATGTCTTGTCTCATAATGTGCATTTATTTAAGTTTATCTGTCAATTTAAATCTGTTTTCTAGATGAAATTGTGCCTGGGGAAAGATTGGCATGATCAGATATATAAGCCTTTGTATTTGATCCCCTGTGTTGAATTCAAACTTCTAAAAAAAATAACTCAGATATTACATGACAATTACAAAAAAACAGAAAAATACAGATTTTAAAAAATCAATTATTTTTCTACTAGAAACTGTAAATCTTCTGACATATACTCTCTATGCCTTGTACACTTAATTATTTATATTACTGGAGGCCAGGTGCACGAAATTTGTGCATGGGGCCGGTGGGGATGTCCTTCAGCCCAGCCTGCACCCTCTCCAATCTGGGAACTCTTGAGGGATGTCCAATTTCCCGTTTAGGCCTGATACTTGTAGGATTAGGCCTAAATGAGCAGTCAGACATCCCTCTCACAATCCAGGACTGCTGGCTCCCAACTGCTTGCCTGTCTGCTTTCCTGATTGCCCCTAATCACTTCTGCCTGCCAGCCTGATCACCCCTAACCACTCCCCTGTCAGCCTGATTGATGCCTAACTGCTCCTTTGCCTGCCTGTTTGCCCCTAATTGCCCTCCCCTGCAGGCCTGGTCACCTCTACCTGCCCTCCCCTGCAGGCCTGGGTTCCCCCAATTGCCCTTCCCTGAAGGCTTGATCACCCCCAACTGCCTTCCCTTGCAGGCCTGGTTCCTCTCAACTGCCCTCCCCTGCTGGCCATCTTGTGTCCACATGAGGGCAGGATCTTTGACTACATGGGGGCAGCCATCTTGTGTGTTGGAGTGATGGTCAATCTGCATATTACTTTTTTATTAGATAGGATAGGATAGAGGCCTGGTGCATGGGTGGGGCCAGCTGGTTTTCCCTGATGGGTGTCTTGGATCAGGCTGGGGTTCCCTTGGGGCATGGAGCAGCCTGGGCGAGGGACCTGTGGTGGTTTGCAGGCCACACCCCCCGGCGACCCAAGTGGAGGCCCTGGTATCTGGGATTTATTTATCTTCTATAATCGAAACTTTGTAGCCTTGAGCGGAGCCAAGCCTCCTGTTTGTTCAGTGGCTGTAGCCATTTTGGGGGAATTTGTTTACCTTCTATAATTGAAACTTTGCAGCCTTGAGTGGAGGCTTAGGCTGTCCAGGGTGTGCAGAAAGTTTGGCTTTCTCCTTTACTGGGGAAACCCTAGCCTCCTGCTCACTCTGTGGCCACAGCCATCTTGATTGGGTTAATTTGCATACTTACTCCTGATTGGCTGGTGGGTGTGGCTTGTGGGTGTACTGGAGTGGTGTTAATTTGCATATTGCTCTTTTATTAGATAGAGTAAAAATGAAACTTCACTAGGCATACTGCTTTGGGGTCAATTTTTTTGCTGTTAACAATATTTATGCCCATATTGTTTTGCCTGTAAATATTAGATTATGTAGTAGAGTATTAATGTCTCATTCTGTAGATATCCATAGTTTATTTACATGAACTCTGATTTTTAGACCTTTAGAATGTTTCTTTTTGTCTATTATAAACAGTCCTACAGTGACTAAGCTCACTTTTTGTGAAATTTTGAAATTATTCCATCAAGAGACATTTCTAGTGTCTAGTATTAAACAGTAAGAATAATAGTTAACCTTTATTGAGAATTACTAAATACCAGCTACAGTTTTAAGATTTCACGTGTTTTAATTCATTTTATTCTATGTAAGTCCTGTGAGGCGGCTCTGTTGTTTGCTGCTGTGTAGGTGAGGAAATGGAGTTTGCAGAGCATTTTAGTGACTCGCCCAGGTTTCTCCAAAAAGAAGGGTGGGTCAGCCCCGGCCTGATTCTAAGTCAGGACAAGTTGGCTAAGGCAGGGAATGGAGATCACACACCAGGGCTGGCTTAAGGAGGCTGTGAGAAGTGATGGGATTGTGAGGAAAAATCAGCAAAGGAAGGGCATGCTGGACACACAGGAAAGCATGAGCGACGGAAGTCTTATCTTCCAAGATGTGGGGAGGACACTGAGTAACCCAGCCTGGTTAGACAGGAAAAGGTGAGGTCGGAAAAATCAGAAAGGGCTGGGTTATGGAGTAAATGCTCAGTTTGAAGTATTTAGTGAAAAATAAAATTCTAACCAGGGAGATCATGTATTTATGAAGAAGATTATTAAATAAAATTATTCTCAGAGATTAAAATAATACTGATGCTTCAGGAATATCTTTTTTCTGTCTCATAAGTAACTTAATAGTATAATTAAGAAAGATTTTAGGTGGGGGCATTTTCAAGTTTTTACATGAAGAAAATGATGAAATGAGCAGATTCCAGAAGAGTCAAAGGAGATGAATTTATCAAGTGTTTAATTGGCCAAAACAGATAGTTTGTAATATTTCAGTCTAGGTTCATACTTTGCATTTAGACATGTAAAAAATAATGTTAATTCTAGAAGCTGACTGTTGATTGCACTGTGCACTGTTCTCTCTTCTAGGCTGGTTTCAGCTCATCATTAGTGTGCTGTCCTTCCTCTTTTTCACTGACATGCTGATCTACTGGATCCACAGAGGCCTTCATCATAGACTTGTGTATAAGGTAGATCGTTTTTAGGAAAAGAAAACAATAGTATATATGAATATATGTCAAACTGAATCTCATAGACACAGACAACAGGATGGTGGTGCCAGGAGGCTGAGGGTGGGGAGATAGAGAACAGTAAAGGGGGCAAAAGCATGACGACAGGAGATGCTGAGACTGGGTGGCGGGCACACCATGCTATATACAGAGCACGTGTGATAGACTGTATGCTTGAAACCTAAATGGCCCAATGAGCCAATGTCACTCCAAGAAATGTAATTTTAAAAAACAGAAATTGCCCTACCCAGTTTGGCTCAGTGGATAGAGCATCGGCCTGCGGACTGAAGGGTGCCAGGTTCAATTCCAGCCAAGGCACATGCCCAGATTGCAGGCTCAGTTCCTAATAGGGGGCATGCAGGAGGCAGCTGATCAATGAGTCTCTCTCATTATTGATTTTTCTATCTCTCTCTCCTCCCTTCCTCTCTGAAATAAATATAATTTTTTTTAAAAAGAAATCTTGTTAAAGGGTAGAATGACCACATAGAAATATGCCTGAGTTCAGTAATCTGATGTGGTTTATAAAAAAAAAAAAATCCTGTCCTAACCAGTTTAGCTCAGTGCATAGAGCATCGGCCTGAGGACTGAAGGGTCCTGGGTTAGATTCCAGTCAAGGGCACATGCGGGAGTTGGCGGGCTTGATCCCCAGTAGATGGCATGCAAGAGACAGCCGGTCAATGATTCTTTCTCATCATTGATGTTTCTTCCTCTCTCTCCCTCTCCCTTCCTCTCTGAAATCAATCAATAAATATATATTTTAAAAAATAATCCTATGCCTGACCTGATTTGTTGTTTTAGTCAATGGATCCCACCACTCAGGATCCTTGTGTAAAACTTCAAGAATAATTTGAGTTTCTTGATCCTGGGTCAGTCTCACTGGATCCTTTAGTCCAGACCGGCGCCCTGCAGGCAAGGCTAGCTGGGATCAGGACTAGTAGGAAGGATGGAGTTACCAGGTTCCCAACTGATGTTCTCATTAGATTTTATTGCCCAGTTGAATAGAACTATTGATTGTACTGATATATAGATTGACCACTGATACAGATGGAAGAACATGGAATTTTATTGACTGAATTGTGATTTGCCACATACCTTGTTCTAACTAAAATCCTAAAGCAAGTGTTGCATTCTAACAGTATTTTCAAAGCGGGTCCCCAGACTACCTAGGTCCTTTTTAAAGATTGATATCTGGCTCCCACTCTACACTTCATCCAATGCAGTCTTGGAACTAGAACTCAGTTATCACTTTTATCAAAATTCTCAGATGACACTTAGCTACTAAAGATTGGCAGTTGGAATATGGCTGGGCATCTGGAGAGAAGCCGAGATGAGGGTCCCCGGTTTGGGGGGAATGCAAGGAAGAGTGCCCTATAGTGGGATGTAGGGCAAACTGAGGTGATAAAAAAAATAGTATACATTTCAGCAGTTTGCAATTATAAATTAGTTCTCTATTTCCAACAATTTTCTCTAATTACTATAAATACCTAAGTAACCATAGTGATGAAAATACCAGGTATATTTTGTTGTATTTTTTATGAGTCTGGAGTGTTGGTGCTAAAATTTCATTGGAGGGTAAAGAAGGAAGACATTTTATAAAGTGATTCTGCTAATTTCAAAAGGGTTTTTAGTTAAGTCTTCTCCAGAGCATGAGTATGGAAGCTGAGCTGAGTGTGGACCTCCGTGCAGGCTGAGTGCTGATGGTGTTCTTTTCTCCTGCAGCACATCCATAAGCCACATCACATCTGGAAGATTACTACTCCCTTTGCAAGTCATGCTTTTCACCCTGTGGATGGCTTCCTTCAAAGTCTGCCTTACCACATATATCCTTTCATCTTCCCGCTGCACAAGGTGGTTTACTTGGGTCTGTACATCCTGGTCAATATCTGGACAATTTCCATTCATGATGGTGACTTTCGTGTCCCCCAAATCTTAAGGCCATTTATTAATGGCTCAGCTCATCATATAGACCACCACATGTTCTTCGACTACAACTACGGACAGTACTTCACATTATGGGATAGAATTGGAGGCTCCTTCAAAAACCCTTCCTCCTTCGAAGGGACAGGGCCACTCAGTTATGTGAAGAAGATGGAGGAAGAAAAGTGCAGCACCAATGCAGGGAGCGCTCGCCAAGAGGGAAAGTCACTCCTTGGAGAGTTTACAAAGACTGAGTAGGTTATTAAGTATTTTTTAATAAGGAAAATACCCTATCCAGCAGGAGACTAGCAGGTAGACAGAATCATTTGAAATCAGCATGTGGTGCTGCTGAGAAATTACCCTAATGGTGAGTCAAGGCAAGACACTGTGAGCATCACGAGCTTAGCCTCACGCCAGAACTCCTGATGTGGGTCTAAGGGACAACGTGTGTCTTTCTAGGCAGCCGAGTGATCATCCGTATCGTCTCAATAACCATTTCTAAAAGAGAGAAAATAAATTATTGGGGGGATTAGATTATGTCTTTTTGCCTTAATCTATCATAATCATTAGGAAAAATCCATTGTGCTTACCATACCAAGGTAGCACATGACAGCAAAATGCTAATGAGATGGTTCCTCGTTTCAGGAATGGGTGTCTCTGGGTTTGGTGTGATTTGTTCACGCATCAGCGTGGAAAACTATACTGATTCTGCATATTAGCAGCTTTGTCAGTGGCCTAATTAAAGCAGTGTAATTACGTCACCACTTCCCACACACAGGAAGCTTATTCTCTAGGGACCTTGTTAAATAATACATTTTACTGATGAATAAATAAATTTGAATTAAAAAAATAATTGATCCTATCATGATTTAACCCAGATCTGAGATTATTTAAAGATTTTGATGGTTTTTATTCAAAACTACTATTTAATAGTATAAAATATATGAACTGGAATATGTAGTATTTCCCCCTTATTCGTGGGGACGCATTCCAAGACCCCACATGGGTGCATAAAACTGTATATATTTCCAAACCACATATATGTATATATGTTATATTTTTCTATACATACAAAGCTATGATGAAGTTTAATTTATAAATTAGGCACAGGTTAACAACAATAGCTGATAAACTAGGGTAATTAGAAAGAAAATTAGATGACCAAATAATATATTTGACACTACTGACTTTTAAATTAAGTTGATGCACTTTTTTGTTGTTCAATGTATTCTGAAGAAAATGAAATGTAAAGTATCCCTTTTATATTGTAAAAATATTATCATGAAGGCTCTTCAACATTTAAAGATAATAACCATTAGTAATAAAATATGAAGTTTTTTCATATAATTTACAGAAAAGTAACAAGATCTTTAGCCAGAATTTTCTAATTTCTAACACAATCCAGAAACTATGTCAAAATCACGAAGATAAAATTGATTCAGTTTGAAATATGAATGGCATTGGTTATGCTGTATTAATTTTGCAAAATCAAGTCTCTAGCCAGCGGAACTGTCATTCATTTTGGCCGGATGAACTGCACTTTTGACATTTCAATGTCACAAATCTGTTACTTTCTATAATCAGGAATAATTGCCAAATATTTAGACCTACCACTGAAGATTAGTTTTGAAATATTATTCTCCCCTCACTTTTTCCCACTTCCTCTGCAAAATATTTAACTAGTATTTTCATAAATGTTGTGTATTGTAACAAATATATTAGAGAAACATGGTTCGCTAAGACATTCTTTTAAAATCTATTTAAAATCGATAAAAGATGGTTATGACTATTAAACTGTATCAGAAATATTGTAACAGCACAAAGTATTCTTTGTAGAATTTTGTATTGACTTGAAACCACAAAAATGATGTGGATTGTCAGAACTGTTTTAGAGTGTCCTCAAATGCTCATTGTCAAAGGGAGCAAAAGAGAACCTAGTTCTCTTTATGTTTCACATTTGTATTAGGTTTGAGTGGGTAAGCACTCTGTTTTATGAGACTCATCATAACACTTAATGCTTGGGATCCAAAGGAATTGTTGTTCCTCTTTGAATCACTGTTACAATGTTTAGATTAAATACACCAATGTGCTACTCATTTTTTTAACTGGTAAATATATCTGAGTGCTCTTCACCAACTAACCCAACCCCCTAGTACTCTGCTTTGCCCAAGAAAAAGAAGGAGAGTTGAAGTAAATTTTGTTCCCTGATGATAATGGGAGCTAAAATGTGTGGAGCTTTTCCTCTGGGTCAGACACGTTGTAAATGCTGGGATCGGGCCGCGCGGTGCAGCTTCCACGGGGATGTCTCCCGTGCGGCTCAGTGAGTGACTCCAGGGCTCCGTCCACCTTGGGCACCGCAGGCTCTGCGCCTGCCGTCTGTCCTAGGAACCCAGAGGGGAAAGGGGAGAGACATGGAACATGACTGTGTCAGGCCTGGAAGGCAGGCATGTCCCTCACGTGTTTCTGTGGACAGGACTCCGTCACGTGGCCAATCTGACTGAGATTCAGAGACGTGGGTCGTCCGTTTCTTGGATAGTTAGCCAGTTTGCCAAGCTCATGTGATTCCCCTTTTTATGAGGGTCCAATGAAGGTGTTGAAGAGAGAATGCACTCAAGCTATCCCAAGTTGTTCTTGCCCTGGTTGTCTTCTCATCCTTAATTCCGTAACTCCGATTGGCGTTAGCATTTCCCCTGGAATTTATTACCGCGTCGCTAACAGGAAAGAAGGGCATACTCTGAGAGAGGGAAGCTTCCTCAAAGGTAATCCAACTAGTCTCTGCCCTCCCACCCTCCTTTTTTTTAATCCTCACCGAATGATACTCTTTTATCGATTTCTATGGGGAGAGAGAGCAAACATCAATCCGCTGCCTCGCCCATGTGCCTGAATGGGGATCAAACCTACACCTTGGCATGTGCCCTGACCAGGAATCGAACCCGCAGCCTTTTTGAGGTGCAGGATAGCGTTCCAACCGACTAAGCCACGTGGTTGGACCCACTCTTTCCCTGAAGTCTGGTCTTAGAGGTAGTGTGTTGGGCGGTCCTAAACGCTTTTGTTCACTCCTGTTCTCCAGTAAAGGTTTACGGAGAAGAGTCTTTGAAGTGAGGATCTAAATTCCCACAGGAAGGGAAAGCCAAGATTATATTTTTTCTTTTCTTTTTTTCCACCAAGCCCTGGGGTTTTACTCTGGTGGTGATGTCACTGCTTTGGCTGACCCTGATTGGGCTAGGGTCCAGTTACACAAATGGAGGATAACTCTGCCCTGTCCCACAGTGGACTCAGGAGTTTATCCTCACCCCGCCCTGCTCTGCTCATTCCCCCCTTGTCTTATGTGCATGAGTCAAATCGTTGACTCAGCCTACTTTCTTTCAGCATAAACAACAAATACAGTTACCAAGATCATTAGTACCAAAGTTCCCATCAATATTGTCCTCGCTGAAGTCCAGTTCCCCTCCTGCAGGCATCAATTCTCCTCCTGGCCTGTGAGGAGCCGAGGCTGGGGATCTCACAGGTGAGGCCGCTAGTTGCCAGGATCCAGGCCATACAGGAGCTGGGAGTCATGTAGTCAGGTCTGGGTGCTGTCTACTTCAACAGCAGTGGGCGTGCTCAGAATAACAGCAAGATTATATTTTTCATGTTTATGGTAAAACTTGGGAAATGGATGGAAGTGGAACAAAACTCAGAAGCCTTTGCTGACTCCTCGTTGTGTCTGTCACTCGCTTGTCGGATGCTGTGGCCTCTGCCTTCTCGTCGCCTGGCACACGTCCCTTTCCCCCACCTTCAGGAAGTCGGACAGAACTCCAAGTTCAGTTCTTGAGACCTGGTTGGCAGCGCCGGCTGGTGTTTGTATAGCGATGGTGTCTGGGAGGAAGACAGAGACCAGGAGACACATCAGAACAGATACATTGTGATTAGCTCATGAGGAAAAGGGTGAGGCTTTGAGGCTGATTGCCAATGCGTGCACATAAGGACGTGTCCCAGGGGGCCAGCTGAGGGTGAAGAGGTTCTCTTGCTTTTTCCTGACTTCAAATTCACAGGCCTTGCTGAGCTGTCTAGCAGCATGCACTGCTTTCTGTCATGCTGCTAATTATTCTAGACCCTAACTTCCTTCCAGGTGGAGACCACGTGTGAGTCCTGGCTGTAGTAGACCGTCTGTCCTTCCAGAATGCCCGACCTGGGTGAGGCTCAAGAAATACCCTGCTGAGTGAAGGTGTGAAAGTGCCACACTCCTCAATAAATAACCCCATTTCAAACAGCTAGGTGCAGATCTTTCATCTCAGGCTGTCTTTTAGGCCAACAGTTACTTTCTCGTTTGTTCATTAGCTGGCATTAGTAAGACTGAGGAGTTTTATAAAAGGATGTCTTTGCACAACTACACCCCGAAATAGCAAGAGCAGCCTCCTGGGCATTCTGGTTGGAGCTTATACATTAAACCCTCTGCATCTACACAGATGTAGGAGATGAGTCTCCCTCACATAAGGGACCAGGGAGGTCCAGGAGAGAGGGGCCACCCCTACCCATGTGCCCACAGAGTCGGAACTCCTGTCTAGTCAGGACACAGGCCCCATCGGAGCTCCTGACCGCACATCTGTGGGCGAGGAGGCCGAGTTCCAGGAAAAGCAGAGGCCTGTTGTAAACAGGCTGCAGACCACCGTTCCCTGCTAGGAGGGCCCCAAGTCCTATCCCCCTAACTGGCCCTGTGGCCCGAGTCTGTACTCCTTTGTGGGCAGGCCACCTCTAGCAGCGCCTGGCCTGCGGGTGGTCCAGCCTGTGCCCCGCACTCTTCAGACTCACTCCTGCCACCCGAGCAATGCCAGAGCCTTCTCCCACCGCCACCTCCTGCCGGGGCCACAGAACCGCTGGTGCTCTGGCCAACATCACCACCACCTGCTTCTTGTGAACCAGTGCCCACTGGGGTCCTGCAGAAACCTCCGGCGGGGCCAGCGACAGCCTCGCACTTGGACCTTTTAAGGCGTGGGAACGCCATGCACCCCTGACCAGAATCTAACCCGGGACCTTTCATTCCGCAGGCCCAGGCTCTATCCACTGAGCCAAACCAGCCAGATGGAAGGGAATGTTTAATAACACACCCGGGCACTCTGAGGCAGCAAGCGCAGCAGCTGGTATTGGGAAACATTCGGTGCACCTCAGAACTCTAAACCAGTGAAGAGACACTGGGCGGGCCTCCCCGCGCCCTGGATGGCGCTTTGGCATGTAGACTGTTTCTTCTGAGTTGTCCTGTTAAAACGCCCATGTCACAGGAAGTTTAGATCACCAGCTCTGCTCCCTCCCAGCCCACAGAGCAGAAGCTGGCTGGAGCAGCACACAGCCAGTGAGAGTGAAACAAGGAGAGGCTTTGAACAAACAGCACTTCCCCCTAACCAGGTCTCAACAGCCCTTTAAAAGCACAACAGAGCCAGGAGAACCAAGATGGCAGCGTAAGCAAATGCCTGAACTTGCTGCCCCACAACCACATCAAAATTACAACTAAATACAGAACACCAGCAGAACCGCTGGAGAGCTGGCTGAGTGGAAGTCATAGCCAGAGAGGTCAAGAAGCGAGTGCACTGAGACTGGTGGGAGGTGCAGATGCGGCAGAGCAGGCTGGTCCAGTGCCCACGTGGCCGCTTTTTTAATCTGGAGAGAGATCGCCTCTGTAGAGGTCGCCGGAGTAGCCAGGGGGCCGACCCCCAAACCAGGCCCCCAGCCCAGGCTCCAGTGCTGGACAAGAAGTCCCTACAGGCAGTAAGAACTCCAGACTGTAAAAACCAGTGCAGACTGGGGCTGTGTGACATACAGGCTGCTGGAGACCCAGCTGCTCCTCTGAAAAGGCTGGCACCACAAACTGAATTTATAAGCTTCCACTTCCTCTCAACTCCAGTGCTGGGCAAGGCTCTTGGGCAGCAGACACATATGGGGAGAAACCTCCCCCTTTGCAGGGCTGATTGAGCCATTTCTGTTTGCTCAGCCCTGGTGATTCCCTGAGACCCCACCCCACCCAATTTATAACCCCACCCAAGTTGTGTGCAGAGGCTTTTGCATATGAATGGCCTGTCCTTTCTCAGGCTTAAAACAAACCAAACAAACTGCAGCTGGGTTTGGGAGTCCCAAACCTCTCAATAAAAGGACCAAGGCCCAGCACCAGCACCAGCCTGCCTTGCTTCTCAGCTGGGCATCCTTTGGGCACTTCCAAACCCAATACAAAGAGGAGGAATCTGCAGATATCTCTGTAGTTTCTGCTGGGTAGCCTCATGCAGTAGCTGACTTGGCACCTTCCTGGAGACCCAAGAGCCAGTGTATCCAGTGGTCAGTGTGAGACCATCCAGATTACAACTCTTCACATCCATAAGAGACACACTCAAGGGGCAAACTCAATGAGAACCAAAGCCCCATGAAGCAAGTCCTGTCCCATAAGGGAGTCTCCTGCACAACAGCCCTCCCACTGTAGTCCCAGCTGGTCCCCATAGCCAACTGACCTGGAGGTCAATTCCTCCCAATGACACCAACAGCAATCAAGGTTCAACTACAACAAGACTGTGCGCATAGCCCACAAAGGGGTGCACCAAGAGTGTCCACCTCATGTGATTAGGACGGCTGAGCCACTGGGCCCTATAGAACACCTACCACACAAGGCCACTCTATCAATTCAAGGAGACTTAGCAGCTCTACCCAATACATAGAAACAAACATGGGATAGCAGCCAAAATGTAAAGACAAAGAAACATGTCACAAATGAAAGAAAAGGAAGAAAGCAAACTACTGGATATAGAGTTCAAAACCACAGTTATAAGGTACTCAAGAATCTTCTAGAAACCTTCAAGGGATTTATTGAGACTTTCAAGGATCTTAGTGAGAATGCCAAAAAATGGAAAAGGACCAGTCAGAAATTAAGCATACACTGACTGACATAAAGAATAATATACAGGGATTCAACAATAGACTAGAGAATCTCAATAATCAAATCAATGACTTGAAATATGAAGAAGCAAAAAACACCCAGCCAGAAGAGCAAAAAGAAAAAAGAATCCAAAAATATGAAGATTGTCCACGGAGTCTTTGGGACAACTTCAAGTGTACCAGCACCTGAATTATGAGAGTG